GGCATTCTGTATATTCTAACTAACTTCATGCAGCTGAGCCCTTCTTGAGAAGCCGCCAATTGTGCACCTACTCAAGAACTTCCTAGCATTTTATGGAAACCGAAGGTTCATTACCAGCTCAAAGGGCCCTCCCCTGCTCCTTATCCTGAGCCAGATCGATCCAGCCCATACCACCCCATTCTATCCCTCTAAGATCCATTTTAATATTGTCCACCCACCTACGTCTTGGTCTTCTGTATACTAATTATATAAATAAATATTACTAGTAATTACTTGTATATTTATATTTAAATTATTCCGTATATACCCAAATTTTCGAGAAGCAGGCTCACCCCCGATCAGATATTTATGAGTAATTTAATGCCTCTATTTCTTTGCCCATTTTTGTGGATCTTATCCACGTTCCTCTGTGAACAGTTTACAATCTGCAGTTGTACGCAAATACGAGAATTTTTTGTGAGATCGAGGATGTGTAAATTCGCTTTAATAACTTCCTGCAGCCACAGAGTGTTAGCAAATATGTTATTGTGTGCTGTATTACTAGTGATGGCTGTGTTCAGACTTTGGGTCATACTAAGGTCAAGTCACAAACACCGTGTCTCTTTGATATATTTACTGACGCGCATGGGGATGGAATGTGTGCAGATTCATTACCGTTTTCTTTCCCCCTTTCTTTGGCACTACAGCCCCAGTGGGCCTAGGCCATGAACTTCTCCGTTCACTTCGGTATTTCTAGATCTTACACATTCGGTAGGACTCCTTGAGCGGGTGATCAGCTCGTCGCAAGGCCTCTACCTGTACACAAACACAGAAAACGCACACACACAAACTAAACATCCATGCCCTGAGTGGGATTCGAACCCACGATCCCGGTTTCCAAGCGAGCGAAGACAGTACATGCCTTAGACCGCTCGGCTACCGTGACCGGCTTCATTGCCGTTTACTCTAGCTAAAAGTCTTAATTGTGGATTCTGCATGAAAGAGTCAGAAAGTACTTTGTATATGTTGTTTTCTGAAAAAAGACACTGTGAAGGAGATACCAAAAGTGGTTGAGAAATTCTCCTGTTCTGGATGGATGTTCCTTCGTGAAACTTAAGCGGAGAACAGGAAGTAGAAGAGAGAAATACGTCGGAGAATTACAAAAAAGAGACAAACACAATGAAGGGTGAAATGAAATGGGATGAGATGAGTCGTAACCATAGCAACGTCAGCTTATTCCCTTACCTCTCTTTCATTACACCACCACCATCAGCCAGTACTGTACATTCCTTCCCATGCCCTAACCTCATTTTCATGAACCACCACATCTGTGGCACGTGACTTTCTTCCTTGTGAGAAAACCTTAAAGCTAACCAAGCTGTCTCATTTGACGGAAAAAGTGGTGCAAATGACATGCTCTAAGATCGAAATTATAGAACGTAAAACACAGAAGATACCGGAACTGTTATAACTTTGTAGGCAGGGGTTTGAAATAAAATCGGGATATTTTTCAAATTTTTTAAGAAATATAATTTGTATAATACAGTCACTTTCGTAATATAATTTCACAGTTCTCTCGCAAACCAATACGATACAGATATACGCCCTTGCAATTCGACGCGTATGCACAGCTCACAGAAATGCTAGAGTCTCAGTGGCGTCTTTAAATGACACTAAATTGTTTATTATTACCCATAGGTCCATGCAGCATTGTTTTTATTACGTATATTTAATTAAAGAATCCTTAATTATTTGAAACGTTAGATTCAAATTTATTCCTCTGTACACAGTAACGATACCATAGTCAGCCATTTTGCTTCGCCCACGCGAATAAGCAAATGGGTGAGCTTTTGCCGCCGTCTCCTTGTTTACTGCTTGTTTACCTCACTCTTCGACCCTGAAGTAGAGGCAGTGTGTTCCTCCTAAGCGTCTGTGAACTTGCACTGGACTACACGGCGTTGCATCCTATGAGATAATTAAGATAAGTCCACATTTGTCTCTCAAGTGAGAGACGAATTTCGTACCAATACAAAACCACAGGTACAATATTTTATACGGGACTAGCCTCTCGTCAAAACCTACTATATTACAAAAATCTGCCTCGTCTTGCACTATCGCAAAACACATTAATTACATAAGCCACAGAAAACCGCGCTCATGTTGAATTTGAACCTCACAATGAGGTACCAATGCTTCGTAACATAAATTAAATTACCAGTGAACCCATCCCACAACTATATGAAAAGTAAATAACGATCCCTATACCATATTCCATTTCACTGTTTACTCGCATGTTCACCACAAGCGCTTACATGTAATTCTGATGCTGAGCTCGAGGAATGAATATTATTTTGCTTCATAAGTGTACTAAATTAACAAATAGAGGTATTATGCAATAATGTAAAACATCCTGTACCCTCCCATTTTATTGATTCGATTCAGTTTAATTTCCGAGTGCAGCATTAGGAATTATTTTCCTCTGAGAGGGAATAAAGAAGAATTCGAGGACTGCACCAGTTCCCATGTTTGCTGTAGTTCCTCCTCCTCCGATGCAGTGGCGGTATAGGGCGAAAATTCCAACGATAGAATCGCGTTCTCCGCTTAACCAATGACTGAGAAAACCCATAGTCTACAAGAGCCGTAGTGTGAGAGGTATTTGGAGGTTAAGTTTAATGATTCTTGGGAGACAAACCTAAGTCCTGTACTGTACATGGTCAATCATAAAATACTCTTCGGCTTAAACTTCATATATTATTTATAATGCTCAGAGCAGATAAATAGTTATGTTGATAATTTGCACCGTAGGTTTGGGAGAATGTGTCCTGTGTCATTATTTAACCAGATGATGTATGTGGAAACAGCTTGTATTTTTTTTTATGCTTCATTCCTTTGGTAACATAATTCAAATGTAGCGTGATTTTCGCAGCAAATGCAATTTTGGTTGCCCACAACGAGCATTTTGTCGATCATACTATCTGAATTGCTTTCCTAGACATTTTGGCTATGGATGGTCTTGGGAACCATATTCTCCTGATCCCAACCCCTCCTAATGGAAATATCTTATAGAAACGGAATCAACCCCCACAGTCAATAAATTAGGGAAGCAAATCGTTTGTTGCCATCAGAAGCACTGCAGACACTCAAAGCCGAATAGTTGCTACTTTTCAGCATTGACGACAAATGGCCATAGATGCCATAGAGAGCTTTTCTATTGATAAAAATTTTTTCCCAACCTACTGTACTAATTACTATAAAATAATTCTTCTAACTTAAGTGTGTAAAATATATGCAATTAAACTAGTGATTTTTTATTGATCTAATATGATCCAGTGTTAAACTAATTCTCCTGTATTAAAAATAGCGTACATATAGGATAATATGATTTTCACATGCAATTTGCACAGATAAGAATCAAAGAAATTACACCATTAATGTAGATGTCATTTCAGTCATACTCTTCAACATTTTTCCTGTTTCAGTATGTTAACAATTAGGAAAAGTATGCTTAGCTTAACAACTTGCTTGCACTTTTACTGTCTCCAACATAAAATTTGATTGAAATAAATTCACCTCTTTTCAAGTTACGAGATTTTGTGGCATACAAATTCTCCATTGTTGTTTACATGGTTCTTTAAGCGGTGATGATGAAGATCATACACTTAAGATTCACCTTTGTTGAACTGTATCACAAACCATGAGACTTAATGTTAATGTGGCAAGCTGGACTGTCATGATTGAATTCACTAATAGCCAGCCAAGTCAGACTGTAATGTGTCAGTTACCCTGAAGACATCTGATACAGTCAAACCATATGCTCAGCACCTTGCCATCACTCTAATACACCTGTATTAGCAGAACACTTTGAAATTCTTGTGACTACTGTAACTTTGCTTTGTATGCTTAAGGAGGTAGCAGTTGAGAAACTTAAAGATGAGTAAGATATAGCGCATCTTCACTGTTTGCATATCAACACAGAACGCCTAAAAGAAGACTGGTCTGAAGAGATGATTTCATGGCTTCTAATAAGAAGTGATTGATGTTTAGTCAAGAAAAAACTTATTGGAATTACCTTACTTCAGAATAATTGTAACAACATACACGTAGAAGTAAAATTAGGACTGGATTCCATCAATTGCAACAATGTTTTGTCATAATAAAATAAAATAGAGCAAATATAATATAGGAACATCTCCACTAAAAACATAAACAGCTTAATATTTGAAGCTGAAAATTCTATAAAGCAAAAAGATGAAACCCAAAAGAAATCATTCGATACTTAGCCACACAAAATTTGAAACACACTGCACAGAACACCACAACTCTGCCCACACACGCAGGACCAACACAATGCAACTATGGCAAATTGTCAGTCACTAGTAGCTAATATATTAAGAACAAATTAGTATAAAAAATATGTGTACTATATTTGCGCATATATTTGTACATATAAAAATAAGGAATATGGAAATGAGCAATTTATTATATTTGCAGACAACCTATTGTGAAGGAATATGACCATCATTGGGACCCAAAGCAAGATTCTAATCAGTCGACAGTCCTATTTTTAACAAAACATATTTTAAATACTGGTGTTCTAACCCTTATAGGACAACACATGAATATAATACACCTGAAGCATTTTCTTTGAAGTGTTGGTCGCCTTCCATTGATGACCACCAATGACTGAAATATGTAAAGGATCTGTTATATTATACCATTAAAAAACATTGTTGCATTTGATGGACTTCAGTCGTAATTTTACTTATGTTATAGACTGCAACAGCTGCAGGCAATGTCTGTCTTAAAAATAAATTTTAACAACATTTTAAATAATTTTAAGCTTACAACTGTAACAGTAAACAGTTAATGGGTTACTGTTTAAGACTAATATTGAAGTGAACCTGAAAGGAATAGGATTTGAGGGTGTGGGCTGGATTCAACTGCCAAGAATCATTCTGCCAGAGTATTATCAGTGATTCCTATGGACAAGGTGTTCAGATGAATCCTTTGTTTCATTTTAGGTATCATCATCATGCAGTTCTGTGTATGTGGATGGCTCTGAAATTCGTGGATCATCTAATGCCTCAGTCCTGGTTAAATATGGCACCTACACTGGCCTAGCCAAATTCACAGTATGGATGCCAGAGTTTCCCTTGGAAGTTAATGTGGCTGACTTTCGCCTCAGCCAGGTAAAGGGCTGGAAAGTGCCTGAAGAACATGTAAGGTAGGCCAATTTCTCTATAAGGGATTACTATAAAAAAGCGATTATAGTAAAACCATAAATTTAACTTGTTAGAATGAATGAGCTGGGATAGCTGGGCCAGTAAAATAAATGGTTATAGTTTCAGTGATCAGCTACTGGTTCCTAACTAGACCAGACCAGCTCTGGGCCCACAAAATATCCTATTCACTGGGTACTAGGAATTCTTTCGCCATGGACAAATTAACTAGTGCATAAAGCTGGCCACAGACTTCAATCTAGTGCTGAAATCTACAATGTATGGAGCCTTACCTTCAAACCTATACCATTGTAACATGGTCAGTGTATGGAAAAGTGACTTTCATATTTTACTGTAATCTTAATTGTTTTTTTATCCTGGTTATCTACTCTGTTTGATTAAAATTATTATGTCCCTCTGGCAGAAATATCAGGGTTTAGTTTTCAAGATTGGTATGATGCAGAATGTTTGAATAGAAAATTCATCCTACTAAACAGTTGCAAGGAATAAATTGGTTTCTTTTATTGTACAGTGAATTCAACATTGATTAAGTATGTAACACACATTCACATCAATATCAATTTAACAGGTTAACTTAGAATTGGTTTTGTAGAAAGTAATAGTATTCATATAGTCTTTTACATAGTGTGCATATGAGGGCAAGGGCACAGACAACATTTCAAATTGAGGATAAAGAGTCAGAAAAAAAAGAGAAAAAATTATTTCACTCATATTGTATTGTACTGTATTAATTCATACCGAATCTTTTATATATATAACTATTAAGAACGCCACTACAGTGAATAATATTGAATGTGAAACATTGATTTTTGTCTGTGAGAGGTGACAGATGGCATGCTTTCTGTTTTCTTCTTCCAGTGGTGCAAAAATTAAAAGGTCATTAGATGATAATCATAACAATCGACCTGGAGCATACAGAGGTTGGCCTAACTCTGGAGTCAAGCTGCCAGAGGATGTAGGAAATGGTATTGATCAAGAACGTCACACAACTTGTCGTCTCCGTTTCCAGCAAAGTCCAGTAGAGGTAGATTAGTTTTTAATCAGTTCTTTCATGCTTCTGCCTTATGTGAAATGTAATTCGTTGTAATTAATAGTTATTTTTACCACTCAGGTGTATGCCCACTTTCTGGCTACAGACCATGATTCTGGCAGGGTCAGTTATTTTGTAAGCCGTCGAACTTCGCTTCGCGTCACTGATCTAGTGCTGAGTTTACTGCGAGTATCTGATCCACGGATAGCAAGTCTGCATGGATGTATTTTACAAGGTCGGAGCATTGGAAGAACAGAGGTCCAGGTATGAACCCTTCATTACTTTTCAAATTATCCTAATATGATTCCATTGCACTGTCTGTAATGACATGAATGTGATTTTACTAAGAAAGTTGGCTCAGGTGGTAACACTTCAGATTTGTATTCAGAAGGTGCCTTGTTTGAATCTTGTCCAGGACACCAGCTACCCTGACTGAGGTCTTTTGTAGCGTTCCTCAGTCTCTCTAGGTGAATGTGTGGGCAGAACCTTGAAATAGGCCTTCTCAATTCATCATTCATTAGTCATTCTACTTTTTTTTTTCATTTCATGCCTCCTGTTGTGTTGTAATATACAGCTCCTTTATTAAAACCGGCACAACACAACTATATCAAGGTCAGTGCCTGGTTTGGCTCTGCTACATGTTGATGGCTTTTAATATCCTGAACTATTGAAAGCATTGTTAATTAAACAATGTGCACAGTGAGTGCATGTGAGAGAGAGAGGGAGAGAGAGAGACAGAACAACATTATGGAAGAATAGTCCTCTCTGTTCAACAGCATCTCTAGTATGATGATTTTGGTTCCTATCACATGTTGAAAATAGAACCTAGTAACATTCTGTTGATATAACAACCTATTGTAACGTGTTTCGTTACTGAAGACGCCGTAGAGATCGTTAATTGGTTTATTGAACAATCTACAAATATCGGCTACAATTAATTATCACACAGTTACGGGTTTCCACAGTTTACAAACCCTGCAACAAAATCTCTGAACACAATCTTCACTTGTCTTCACGTACCAATAACGCGGGAGCTATACAAGTCTCCCTGAATTACACACTCCAGATATAACCGGTTATCACGAACTATCACTGATTCTCGCACACGCGTCTGTAGCTCGTAACTTGCGAACTGAGAACTCGTTGATAACACACTCGGCGACTGTCACATTACAAGTCGACTCGGCGACTGTTACGTTCCAACTGACTCGCAGCCGCTGTGCGGCTCAGTTATATAGCCACAGTGCTTGCCTGTTGCGTAATGAGTGCCACGTCACAGTAGGAAGCGGTTCCGCGTCTCCGTGCGTTGCACGTTGCATAGCTACCAGGATGCGGGGACTCGGCTAACTTCAGCTCCGCTCGTGACGTCACTGCGGGGAGAGTGGCGGGGTGATTACTCGCCTATTACGCGAGCGCTACGTTACCGCTACGTGCCGCTGGGGAGGTAGGGGTCAACATGTCACACTATGTTGCTGCCTGACAATGATGCAGTCCCAAGAGATGCTTTAAGCACAGTTTAGTTTGTATAAAATAAAAAAAATATATATTTTAAGGCACAGAGACAACTGCAGGAATGTTGAATGCTTATTGTTCTGTGGGCTCTGAAATAATTAGCAGAAAGGTACAAGCTAGAAAATGTTAAATTCTTATTTAGCCTGAAAGGTAAAACTTTGTCATACATTGATGAAACAAAGAACAACTATAAATCGGAAACTGTTTTTGATTAATATGTGTTCTGGAAATAACCATAATCACTAGCGTGGCTGAATATGTTTGGTTGCATGTGACATTACGTGACACGGTAGTGAGTAGCTATTGACTCAGCTTGAGTAGGTCTGCTGTGTTTCTACTTGCAGTTACCTCTCCATTAACAAGATGACTCTAGTAATCAAGGGACAGTTTGGAGGACACACGTGCCCTTTTATATTTCATATACATTATTTGAAGGTTAATTAGGCACTTGCTATTTTGAAACATGATCGTTGAAATTCTATTAAGCTGTTTTGAATTTCTTCAAGTTGAAAATTCAGTATTATTTATATGACTGGTCTATAACACTCACTTTACACAGTCTAACGCCATTATGTCCTATGGTCCTTCATCAGGTGTTGAGATGGCTTTTCAAGACCTGGTAGACACTCCAGTTCAGGTCTAAGTATATGGTCAAAATCAGTAGAAAACTCCAGAAAAGTAACCAACACATTTTGAAAGGAAATTACTGCAATGTAGGATCATAAAAATTTTTTCCTGCATGTACCTTTGAAACAATAGCAATTGCATCTCAAGTCATTGGAAATGGCTTCCTCCAAATGACGTACTCTGGAGCTAAGTGATGTTTATCACTTCCAATTTGAATGTATGAAGTCAAGAACAAAACTATATGATATAGGCCTAGACAGGTAAACATCATTTACCTATAGTATGACAGACGTTTTATGTAACAATTTGGAAGTACTTTCATGAGTAGTACAGTAGTACCTCACTGTTTATAGGCAATGTCAAGACATCAACTAGCAAGTTATGTTTGGAGTAAGCTTACTTTGTGGCCTTCATATCAGGGATATAAATGCAATGATGTGGATGGCCTGATCTGCTCAGAACTTTAAGGCTCAGTGGACCATTTCTGCTTTGAGACAGGCAAATTTGACTCTAAATTTTGTTAATTTCATGGCCTATTTTTATTTCTGTTTCACATATATATATAAATTTTGAATACCAGTGTTCATGTGTCTTTGATGTCCTGCTTTAATTCCATATGACCATAATAATCTTAAACATATTTGCATTGTCAAATGGTTGTGAATTTTATGAAATAAAATGAGAGTAGTTTTTGCAGTTTAAATAACTAATAACCAGGGCCCGGATTTTGATGACATGTCATCTTTTTTTCCTTGTATCCTATGCGCTCTTAAATATATAAATCTCAGATATGAGCTGCTGGTTACAGAAATGTAAATTTTATGGGTAATTTTTTGTCATTTTTTGACATTTTTAGGTTTAAGGTCTTTTTTCATTTTTGGGGTAATTTTTTGGTAAATTTTTGGACTTTTAAGGGTATTTATTGTCATTTTTGGCCATTTTAGGGAATTTTTCTTCATATATTTTCTGAAATGTGAATAATATGGAAACGAAGGTGTTCTTTCTTTTCTCCCTTAGGTAATTTTTCTGGATTTTTTCGGTCATTTTATAGGTCATTTTTTAAATATTTTCAGGTCATCAAAATCCAGGCCCTGCTAATAACAAACATGGGTATACTTCTGATGTGTTTAGCGTTGGTGTTGTGTAGGATGAAGGAGCTGTGAGGCTATGAGGGTGTGATGCATTATCATGTAGGAGGGGCCCAAATATTAATCTGTGGCTGGGTCCTCAGAAATGTTGCTATGCTAATGCTTATAAGAGGCCTGTTCCTTCAAAAGATTAGTAACATAAGAAGATAAATTAGTGAAATGCTTTCAGGTACTGTCACCCATCACAGGAAGAGTAATAGGTGCAAAGGAAGTGCGAGTAGTCAGTGACAAAGTGAGCATAACAAGGCTTCAAGTGAGAGTGGTCTCAGGGTTGCAGCTGTCCATTGTGCCAGACAGTGCAGTAGAGAATGGTTACATTGCAGAGACTTCAGTGACTAGGAAGCTGACAGCTCAGTACCAGGTTTGTTTGTTTAGTGATTGAAAAATAAAAATAGAACAACAGAAAGTTGCATCTCTTTTCTTTAAGACTCTGTTCTTAGTTGACTGCAGCATCTGTTAATCTATCAGAGGGCATCCTACTACACCTATACATACTGTTATGTGTATGAGTGACTATATACAGGGTTTGGATTAATCACATGTCTTATTGGACACTACAATTCATAAGTGCAAGTAAGGATTATGCTCTTGTTGCTCTGCACACTTCACAAATCACTATAGTACACACTAGTTCTTCTCACTCTGTTAACAGTCTTCACTAGCTGTTGCTTAGTAATGACCTCCAATGGTGGATGTTCCCCTTCCTCTGGGTTCCTGAACTTTCACCGGCCTGAGCTACCAGCTTCTCACAGCAACATCTCAAAACAGCTGAACCCCAGCAGTTATCTAAATCACTCAGTAGTTAGTGAGTTATTGAAGAGGGTGGGTTTCCCCATGCACTTAGACCACTACTGGTCCATTGTGCTTCCCTCTATGATATTCTACTAGTCTCTATACAATACAGATACTGGTGCGTACGATCAGTCCCGACCGAGCCAGCGAGTTCGGCCTCTACTGGCTTAGCGGTATCTATAATGCTTCCCCCATCTATCAGAGGCGTTAGAGACTACTGTTGGGCGGGAAATATCCTTGAATTTGGCTCAGTGACCTCCTTTGGAGATATGAGGTTCTTTTATGTGCTGTAAAGCTACGACACGGGACCCACGGCTTAAAGTCCCTCCCGGAGGACTTGTTCCCTGAATTTTTCTGCCATTAAAAATTCCACGACCTCCGCCGGGTTTGAACTCACGTACCACGAGTCATGAGGTGGGAATGTTACCTCTAGACTACGGAGGCCACTAAGCAAAATCACTCAGTAATTCACCAACTGACTCAACTTGCTGACTGACTTATAATATCTTAGCACGGACCACGTAGAAAACACCATCCCTTGGTTGCAGTGCAGTTGTTGCCGTGGATACATGCTTGTTTGTGGAGCCATTATTTAGCAACATGTGTTGTATAGTTGCTTATTTCACGGTCATTGCCTAGCAATGGGTCTACATGCCACAATATCTTATGTATTTAGTGTTGTCCATTGTGTCATTGCCATTTCACAGAGGTATGAATGTTGTGTTGCCAACAACAGATACAAGGCTGTACAAGATAATACAGGCATATATGTATTTGCTGACTTACCTGTCACTTTAATGTGTTTCTCATGATTGTAAATTAATTACAGGACTTAACTAGTCATACATTTTTAAGGCACTGACATCCTGTTTTCAAATCCCATATTTTTACCTTTCTGCTACTGTAATAAATTAAGTAAAAAATGAAGTCAGTGTAAAATGTTATGATAATGAGCACTACAGAGATCATCACTCATAGTGAGGTCTTAATTATCAGGATCTAGAATAGGTCCATGTAATTTAGTATCGTTTGTTTTTTGATTCTTGTATTTTACATCATATTATTCCATGTTATGTATTCTAGTTGCAAAAGAGGAAAAAACTAACAGTAGTCTATTATTACAAGCAGTGTTCAATTATAATGTATTTAAAATTTGTCTCCTCAGGAAGGGTTGTTAGACATTGACCTGGAGTTCTCGGATGGATTTAGAACTCCACTTCGTGACATCACCGTGAGTGACTACTACCTTCTGGTGGATAGTTTAGACCCTGAAGTGGTTGCCTTTGCTCCAATGGTAGCTTCCCATCATCCTCGTGTAATAGCAGTTGGTGAGGGTCGGGGTGATCTGCTGCGAGTGGCCCTTCTGCCAGCTGAAGAATGTCGTGGAAGTACATCAACACGTCGAGGCGGTGCCAGCAGTGGAGCTGGTAAAGGTATTAGCAAGGGAAACATAGGAGGACCACTAGCAGCTGCTTCAGCCCATGTTGATGTGGACTTTTCAGCCAGTGAAGTTCCACAAAGACCTGACTTTGTGCAGAATGATGGAGGAGGAAATGTAGGATCAGGTCATGGTGGACGGGACAGAAAAAATAACAGAGAGCTGCCTCCTGATCTGCATGACATTATAAAAGGTACTGATGTCTGACTTCCCATACTTTATTTCAGTGTGAAAATGAGAAATGCTAAGCCTAGTTCTTCTTTTGGCTTATTTTGGACTTCATCCATCGTCTAGTATGTAAAAGACAAAAGACCACTGGACCAGTGATTGAGACTAGCTTTTTCTAACGGGCCCAGCTGAGTGGGTTTATCCTTCCCTACCCACCTGAAGATGGAGACAGAACCAGTCTCCGAAACGTCGTGGTCTTTTGTCTTTTACGTACTAGCTGATGGATGAAGTCCAAAATAAGCCAAAAGAAGTACAGTATACACCATCGTCAGAATCCTTTCAAGTCTATCTAAGCCTAGTTCTACAGGCTTTGTATAAATTGCCAGGATATTTCACAGAGATGCTATAATACATGCAAGGGAGGCTCCTGTGTCCAAGATAAATACTCAGAGCTATTGAAAATAAAATATTTTGCAGGGTTTCATCATCTCTTCAAGTAAATGTATAAGTTGGCTTAGGCTTTTAAGTAAAATGGCAGCAATTATTGGCCAAAAGGCTTGAGGTCCCTCAGTGGGAAAAATTATCATGTTGGATTGCATTCTGTTGGATATTACTTCTGCATTAGGAGATATTGCTTATATTACCCTTGAAAGAATGTGCCAAAAAATAGTCCATTCCTTTGCAAACACTCCATTGACAAAAAACATCAACATTTTTTTTTTTTAGGTTTGAAGCAAGTCAGCACAAGAGAATATATTGAACATTGACATAATCACTATACCAGGTGATTTGAAAGTCATACAACCCAGACTGCATAATAAAAAAAAATGTGGTCAACTTAAGTCTTGCAGTTATAGTCTTGTATGGGACAGGAAGATTGGGATGTTTCCTGAAACTACTTGCATTGTGCCATATTCACCACTCACCTCAGTCTAGTGCCAAAGTTAATAATGGTGGAGCTATACCTCCACTCCCCTATGTCTTCATGATGTGGTGCTTTAATTAAGACCAGAGATAACTTTACTTTTTATCTTATTTGTGACATTCAGTGTTTTGCATTAAATTACATATATATAAATCATTGTAGTTTTGTGCTGTGCAATCAGATGAAAGTCTGAGGCATTTGATATCATCCTCTTTTAAGTAATTTGTTGACATAGCAGAATGAATTATTTTTTTCAAATTCCTGAAATTGAAGTTTCATCTTCTATGAAATGTTTACCGAAATGCAACCTTATATAACAAATACAAGGGTACAAAATCATGTAAAGGAAGAACAATTTCTTATCTTACGTTCATCATACCAGCACTTGATGGTCACTGAAAGATGAAGTGGTTTTAGTATTCCTATTATCTCTTCATGCATTCATAATTCATAATTATAATTATAATTCATAATTTTATTTACATCCATAACTGTAAAATATACAATCGGATAAAGTCAAAGAGAATATATAGATTTAATAACAATCACACCTAACATAATCAAAGAATACATAAATACTTAAATATATTATATAAAAAAAAACCACCAGCACATGCATTAACAGACAATTACAGTCATTTAATTCAACAACTTACATATAAAAAAACTCCTGAAGAGAGTAGAAAGTATTATGCAACAAATAACACTTCAATTTCCTCCTAAACACTTTAAAATCAGATACATTCTTTAACTCCATAGGAAGATTATTGTATAGTTTTATGCCCATGTTTATCACACTTCTCTTACAATGATTTGTATTACAATGTTGGGCATACAGATTATGTTTATGCTTTATATTGTAATTATGCACATCAGAGTTCAGAGTTGTATAGATTCTATTTTTTATGATAAAACATAAAGTCTCCAGTATATACAAAGAAGTAACAGTTAAAATTTCTAACTCACCAAACAGCCTTCTGAAGGATGCCCGATTATCAACGCCCATAATGGCTCTTATGCATTTTTTTTTTGTACTTTAAAAACTGTATCTATCTCTTTACCTCCACCACCCCAAAACATAATACCATACTTAAATATGGATTCAAAGTTAGTAAAATATACATTTCTTAATACCTGTAAACTAACAGAATTACGTTAAGGATTTGATCAGATATAGAGCCTTGCTCAGCTTAAGGCAGATATATTGAGTGTGATTCAACCAGCTCAAATTTTCAGAGATATCAATACCCAAGAATTTCACCGAAGATTAATTCCTTGTGACAGTTTGTGCAAGAGATATTCTATTGTTGGTGCTTCTGTTCTTATAGGGATTCAACTGAAGGATGAAAACAACCATGAGCCAACAGTTCAGGCACATCAGCACCATTCAGCTATTGCTAATGGCATGGCATCAGGAGTTGGAATGAGACCTCACAACTCCATGAATATGACTCCTCTTGAAATTGGAATGTATGTGCTGCTGGCAGCCTTCTGCTTTGCCATTGTGGTGTTTGTTGTGTCATGTGTTGTGTATGCATCCAAGTTTAAACCTCAAGCTATAGAATCTTCAGGTCATAACACCACTGGCCTTCAGAGTTTGGGCGCTGCAGTTAGTAAAGTTGCAGGAGGCAGTGGAATTAGTGGAATTGGTCTTGGAGGTAATGGTCATCTTGGAGGGAAGAAACAGCCAAGAGAATCTACAACAAATGCACATGATTGGGTTTGGTTAGGCAGGGCAACTCTTGAACGAGCATCAAGTCATGTGGTGACAGGTGAAAACTGTAGCCCTGGCAGAACTCCACCTGTCTGCAGTAGCAACAACAACAACATTACTGGTAAAGATCAGATGCATATCACTTCCAACCCTATGAGTTACAGCACAGCAGAGAACATGGAAAATGAACAACAGAATCTAGCACCTTGTTTTGACAACCCTAATCATATTGATCTGCCATCTAGACCACCTGCCATTGACAGCTCCACGTACAGTAAAAAGGAGAAGATTCCAAGTAGACATCATCCTCCTACCCCAAAGCAACATCATAAGGCTCACCATGTGACCAAGGACTCTGCTGCAGATAAACTGTGGCAAATGTAAGGGCTGTTCATATCATTCCATTGTAACATTAAATGTCAGCATGCATCTCTTTCTGCAGAATACATCCACAGCATAGAGCTCCTCATTTATGCTGCAAAATACACACAGAATGTAGTAATCTGTTTGGTAATTAGCCACTACAGTATTTGGCAAGGATCCCACTAATATATATATTTAATATAAGAAGAAATGTATTCTTTCCCAGTTTTAGTAAAGTTGCACATTTGTGTTTCACTCAGAGATAACACACAAAAGAACAATTACAATGAGTTGGGTGTCTCTCAATAGTTGCAGTGTTGCCATGACATCTAATAATTTAATGTATTATTAGTTACCATTGCTGTTCTAGTTGAGTTCGAGTTTCACTTCCTTACACATTCTTAATTTTTCCAGCACACCTCCTCCTCCTCCACTTCCACCACATGGCATTCCACCAGAGAAGCAGCAGCATCATGGAGAAAATGCTGAAGGAACTGAGGCAGCAGACTACAAGCCTCCAGTTCCACCTCATCGCAATATAGGAGTGACAGCTCGCATTGGTCCTTCAAGACAGCCAGGTCCAGTACCAGGATTCTTACCACACCATCAACAGCCACCACCTCCACCTCCGCCACCACCACCATCACCACCACCACCGCCGCCACCACCACCACCACCACCGCCATCACAGCATCAGTTAGACAGTGGCATTGCCCAAATAACTGCAGATCAGAGGGTCAGTGCAATCCCTGCAACTGTGGTGGCCCCAATATCAGTCCCATCCCGACGCCATCACCACCACCATCACCATCACAGAAACATCAGCAACAATCACCGTAATGGCAAATCCAGCTCTTCCGGACACCACTATGCAGCTGATTCAATTGCTGCACCTAAGCCTCCAGACCACCTACTTGAGGAGACCAACAGTAGGCAGAAGAACTACAACCAAGAATTAACCAACCTCCAGCAGCTGAGGTACCACCATTCCAAAGATGCTGTCAAAAGGCAGTCCAAAGAAGGGGCATATATTATGTCTCAGAAAGATGAAGATGAGGAGGAAGATGCCCTTCCTGATCCAACATTTGTAGAGTTTCCAACTGAAACTAACATGGGTTGTGGTGGAGTCCAGCATAGGGGTAGCAGTCCAGAAGTGAAGCGAGCAACAATAGTGGGAAACCCTATGTTCTCTGCTACAGAATATGATGGAGAAGGAGAAGATTTCAGGGTGCGTGAGGAACTTCTTGGTCTGGAGGACCTCAGTCTTGGTATGGACTATGACCAAATCATGGAATACTTCGATAATCTGAAGGAATCTAATGCTTGAATTCAGCTCCACATCCCCTGCCTGCATTGGTGGCTGCAGCTGAAATAAAACTAATATTCTGACTGAAATAAACTACAAATGCAACATCCATTTAAGGATGTAAATGAAAAGTGATCTTATTGATTGTGTTTTCAAAAGTGATAACATTCATTCTACTCTAGTCAAAAATTGTTGCTACTGCTTAAAACAGAAGCACTGTCAAGCTCCATAAACTTAGAAGTAAGACTTTTATCTCATAATAAAATTACATGAGCCAAATAACTATCCTCAAAACCTCACTTATCTTCATGTGCCATTTAAATCCGTATAGTGGCTGCTATACCCCAGTCAATGAGTAATATACTAATCAAAAAATCAAACTGTGAGCAAGTTAAATGTATCATATCTGATCATAACAACTTGTTTAATTTCATCATATAGCTTTAAAACAGATCAGAAGACATTCCTCAATTACAAAGTCAATCATGCATAATTTCTTTTTCATTGTACATAAATATGTTTTGATTTGATAGGTACTAATATTATTATATCATATCACAGTCATTATCTATCAAAGCATGGAAAATCAGAGAGCATGTTGAATGGATTTCAGAGTATAAAGTATTATGGTTGCTAGGTTGTCAGATGTGACCAATCATAAATGTAAAGTAATTATTATAGAATATTTGATGTTCCTATTTTCCCACCTGAATATTTACAAACAGCCAAAAATGCAAAGAAGAAAATTTGGTATCTGGTAAAAAACTAAGAATATCTTCATTGGCCTTTCTGTTAATAAGAGTATCATACAGTCATTATGCATCATATGACTTGTTTAATTTGAGCTTAACAATTGTATAAATGATCATCTCCGTAGTTGTATTATGGAAATGATTACTTCTTCTTTCTTTATATAGCTACATTTTAGATATTTATTGCAGTTTACCCTTGTAAATTTTGCGTTGTAAGATTTTGTAAATATAGAAATGATTCATATTATACGCACCATGACATTGTTACACATTTTATATAAACATATTAACCTTTACCAAATTTATATACATATGAAAGAGTAACTGTAGTAGATGTTTCCTTTTCTTGATATTTTCTTTTGAAGTCCTATCATGGACATCTTATAAATGGCATGGTAATCTGTATCCTTTCAGTACTGTTTCAAAATTTGCTGGCATTGGCAGTAACAGTTCTTGCTAGACTCATAACTGAACTTAGAGTGTAGAATTAATTATACCATTGTTACTATAAGAAACCTTATCTTCGATATTGCCAGGTCTAGTCTGAAATGAATAAAAGAAATCCTCCTATACAATGGTAAATTGTGTGACGTTGTTTTAGAATAAATATGAATAAAAAAGTTTGTCCATATCGAAATGTCAGTTGCATTTGCAAAATAAGTATAGCACTGGTACTGAATCAGGTAAATATGTTCTGAACTTGCTGTTAAATATTGAATCATGCAATCTGACATATTAGTGTGTTAGTGTTTCCATTGATGATCTATGTACACTACATGTAATGTGCAAGTGTGTTGACATATCTGTTGGTAGATATACATATGACACAATGATTGAATAGCAGTTTGTGAAAGTGTGACTTCAGAACTTCATTTAGCTTTCATACATCCTCAGAACTCATAGTGCTAGCATTACACTAACAACTGTATGCAGTCTTGTGCTCAACATACCTCACTGGCATCTATGTTGCTGAATATCTATCAGTGCTGAATGTGGTGTTTCTTTCTAAGTAAGGATGAAATAAAATGGCACTTGTATGTCACCTTAATGGATGACTAGATCAGCACAGTCATTCAGTACTGCAATGTAGACCTTTCTGTCTGTAAACTCTTGAAGTGTATGATAACAGAATGAAAATGTTATGTGTACGTGTACATATTAATGTCAATTAACGTAATGTTAATGAATATGTATACAGCTATTGTCTTACTAAGTAGATGCATTCTCAATGGGGCTATCACGACTATACATAGAACAGGCTCACCCATGGATACTCAGCTGATGAGAAAGTGAAATGACCAGAGAGAGATAACACTGTACATTTTGAAAAATCCCTTCATTGCTTAATTAACATAATGTATTAGATTTCCTCCTTATGTATGTTACAAAAAATTTAATATTGTTGTGCACAGAGTCCAGCAAACAGATCCACATTCTAATCTTTGCATCCAGTTTGGCCCCACAGGTCAAGCAGCCTATGGGATCAAATGATAGCAGTCAGTAATGAATGTGCTGACTGTTTAACGTTTAATATTATTGTATGCCTAATGTCTTCAATACAAATAAAACCCTTTGTAATCCTGATTGTCTATTCAGCTACTGTATATAGAAGTAAGTATAGTTCTGAATTGAAGTACCATATCTGTATGAGGGCAAGTAAGAATGTAAATTTTCCTACTTTCTTTGCCAGGGAACAGATAAAAAGAAAGGATGGAAAATGTGAGGTGTTAACAATACAGCATGCTTTGTGGAGGCATGGCGAATAACATATATTGTATGCATGCACAAGGCCAGTTCCAAAATGGGTAGCATACTATAGACATGGACAAAAGAAGGGGTTCCTAGATAGTATTCAGTTTCTATTGGCTAATGAACCATACTAGGGACATACTGATATGTATGATGACATAATATCTGCAAATGGTGAGAAAACGTCACTAATTCTCATCATTGATCAGGTTTCGTGGATGATACTGGAAATGGCCAAAACTCCACATAATCTGCCCTGGTTCCATTCATCAATGAATAAGTTTGTATTGTCACATAATTTGGGGTGCGTGACTATAGATGGGGTATGGACTGGATATTGAATTTATTGACAACTTGTATACACCATTCGAGACTACATTTTACAGATCACTGATACACACAGACTAGTGTCCTCAGTCTATTTCAGCTTCCCACACTCATGTCTTCTTGTCATAGCTGCCTGTGCAGAACTTGTCAACTGACAACTCAGCTGACTAGGTCCCAGGCTGGAGGTCATTTCACATCATCCTCCTAGTCTTCTCTTCATAGGCTGACTTTCACTGAGAACTGACAACTGAACTGTCTCACACCAACCAGCTACTTCACATCACTTCACTCAAGTGAACTGTTGACTACTGACTACAGCAAAGTCAAGTCACATTGCAACTGACGATCAGTCACTAAGTCATGGTGTCGAGCACCATTTGGGGCTCATGACCAGATATTTATTACCGTTTGACAGTTACGATCTTGTTTTTTTAGGGCACCCTCTCTGACAAGAGGACGGGTCTGTCTTTTGTAAATGCTGCTGGCCCTTGCCAGCACAGTCTTTCTTGGGTCTGAGACCCTTGGCACTCACAACCTTATTTTACTGTCTCAGATTTGAGATGTCCCTTTTCATCACCTCCTACAACTTGCAGGGTCATGGTGGTGACTGACTGCAGCAAGTCAAAGTCAAAGTCACATTGCAACTGACAGTCAGTCTTTAAGTCTTGGTGTCGAGCCCTGTCTGGGGCTCATGACAAGATATTTATTACTATTTGACAGTTACAGTCTTATTTTTGTGGGGCGCCCTCTCTGACAAGAGGACAGATCTGTCTTTTGTATATGCTTCTGGTTCTTGGCAGCGCAGTCTTTCTCAGGTCTGAGTCCCTTGGGACTTGTGACCATATTTTACTCTCTCAGATTTGAGACTTCACTTTTAGTCACCTCGTACTACTCGCAAAGTCACGGTGGAGGTATTCGACCCCACCTCCACGCCGGTGACTGACTGACTGCAACTTGGCCGGTGACCTTGTTATATAATCTCAGGGCAGATCAACAGAAAACACCACCTTCAACAATGCTTCTGCTATTGTCATGGGTGGTTGCCTAGCAATAGACTGGATATCATTTCCACAGGAACATGTCTTCTGAAGATGGCTTATAAACAGATGTTTGTTTATCCGCCTGTTTCATAGCAGTGGATGTACTTGTCCATTTCAGGTCTCTGGCCAGCAACAGGTCTATACACCACAGTATGTAAATCAGTGTGAGACACTGCAGCAACCGAAGGAAGTCTGTAACTGCTTTCATGTGTTCTGTGGGTCACCATCCATGAACACAGCCATACCATAGTTCCAGTCCAGTTACAGCATAATTAAGCCTATAAATTGGAGCAATGATTTGGAATTAAAAGTTACACTATTTAGCTGCAAACTAAAATTAACAATGCACACAGTCTGTACATAAAGCTTGCAGACAGAAGTCCCAGACATCAATGTTGCCTGAATTTTTTCTAAGTGGGGCAGCCAGAAAGTTTCTTACATGTTTACATGATTTACAGCTAATTTTACTGATTATTCTAGGGTACTCAGGATATTGTAATACATTTTTAAATAATTTTAATTCAGCGTATTGAGAGTCTCCTTAAGAGGAATTCATACAAGACCTGCAAACTTTCCTAATTGAAGTTTTAATCGAAAGGAAAGTGATTATTTATTCACTTCATATCCATGGATCATTATACATGATATAGGACAAGTCAAATACTTTACAATAATAAATAAATAATAATAATATAATGATATAATAATATACTAAGATAATACAATGATGATTCTAATAATAGAACTAATATAATCATTTAACACACAACACCGCTGTACGCCTCAAGACCCGATCCTTCTCTCCCGGCACAAAATACCCTGGTATTCTCAATCTTGTTCCTGCAAGAAAAAATACAGAGGAGGGCAGTAGGCATTCCTATAACATTACTAACATTAAAATCTACAAGTTAATTATTCTTGAAATATATGTTTACAAGTGATTAGAACTAGGATTTGCCCCCAAACAAGAGAAACTCATCTATTACTATAGAAACAATGATCAAGTAGGAATGTCTTCAAAGTCTTTTTAAACTTTTATAGTACTGGTATCTCTTTACTATATTGTGGCAACTGATTTAACATACAAAGTCCAATATTATTGAAATTGTTTTTGTATAGACTTGTATTACATGGCACTATGAACAAGTCATCTTTTCTGTTTGTATTGTGAGTGTATTCCTGAATTGGTTATGAAAACATTCAAATTGGTTTGTATGTAAACTAGAATTTCATATACAGGATGTTTCACGACTTTAGGGCATAACTGCAGGAGGTCATTTCCTAGGTCTTTGTGATCAAAAAAGTTCAAATGAACATGTGTCCGATTTTGGACGGTTACGGAGTTATGACCGTCTTTTCATTCCCGTACACGCCCTCATGTGAACTGCGTCTGTCATCTGGCAGGTGACTATTTTTAGCCATCTATAGGCAGAGCATTCTCGTTATCTCGACTCTTGAGAGGTACCTAAGGCGTGGTGGGTTGGTATGTCCGGCGCGGTNGTATGTAAACTAGAATTTCATATACAGGATGTTTCACGACTTTAGGGCATAACTGCAGGAGGTCATTTCCTAGGTCTTTGTGATCAAAAAAGTTCAAATGAACATGTGTCCGATTTTGGACGGTTACGGAGTTATGACCGTCTTTTCATTCCCGTACACGCCCTCATGTGAACTGCGTCTGTCATCTGGCAGGTGACTATTTTTAGCCATCTATAGGCAGAGCATTCTCGTTATCTCGACTCTTGAGAGGTACCTAAGGCGTGGTGGGTTGGTATGTCCGGCGCGGTTCACAACCGAGCAGCAGCCTGTGTTGCTGCCAGCAGTGCATTTTCGAAAATCAGGTTTAAGCACCAAAAAATTCAAATTAAAGGTAATTTCACGAAGTTAACTTTACATTCATACTTTAAATGTATCATGTATTATGCTGGTTTATTATTTTGTTCCGTTTATTGTCAGTAGACGTTACCTTCTATTCTGAGTTTAAAAAGGTCATAACTCCGTAACCGTCCAAAATCGGACACATGTTTATATGAACTTTTTTGATCACAAAGACCTAGGAAATCACCTCCTGCAGTTATGCCCTAAAGTCGTGAAACACCCTGTATATACAGATATGGTGAAAGTAATATATGTAACGATTTAAAATATTGTTTACAACTAACGGTTTTCGGGATTTGTATCATAGCTCTAATAGCTCTCTGCTGCAACCTAAAGATCAATTTTGCATTTCCTGAATTGCCCCAAAATATCAATCCATATAATAACACGGATTGAAAACAAGCATAATACTCGTATAAGGTGTGAACAGTCTCTAACCCTGATACTCTTTTGATTACTCATAAGGCAAAACATATTTTACATCATTTATTTGCTAGTTGTTGAGTATGTGCAGTCCACCTCAGATTCTTATCCAACCAAACTCCCAAATATTTTGTATGTAATTTGTATTATAACATATGTAAAAAACATTAAAAATGTGGGAGGCCAGTGCACACTGAAGTTACCAATTCAAAAACATGTTCATATGTCAGCATTTACCTGCAGTATTCCGATGATGGGATAACTCAGTCCGTATAGCGTCTAGGATATGGGATGGTCGGCCTGGGTTGGAGTTCTGGCTAGGCAACAGATTTTTTTCTGTACCATGGCATCCAGATGAGCTCAGGGGCCCACCCAGCATTCCTATGCAATGGGTACCAATGTGGTTCTTTCCCTTGGGGTGAAGCTCTATATCTAGGCCAGACGTCAAGAATGGGGGCGCTATACCTCCACTCCTACATATGTCTTCATAGAGTGCACAGGAACTTTACTTTTTCCTTTACCTTTACAACTTCTTCTAAACGATGCGGTGCCATACAAAAAGAAAATGTGGCATAAGTGTACCTTTCGTTGGTGCTTTCTTTTTGCTTTCTCTATGAATTTAAAAGCAAATGACAGATAAGGGTAGTATTTAGCAATCTGTGACAGTAATTTGCAGAGGTACTTACTTCATTGATAACTCAAAAATAAGAGACTTTACTGTAGGACCCTTTATAAATGGTTTGTCTGTTCATGAGGCCCAACTCATAGAAATAAATAATATTAACCTTCAGCCCAATAATCAACAATATAAAACAGTAAGGAAAATCAACAAGCATATGATGGCAGATTTTGTCACAAAATTAAGTAATGAATCTTGGGACACTGTATTTGACAGCAGTGATATTGATTCTAAATTTAATTGCTTTCTGAACACATACTTGAGGATCTTTTATTCAAGCTTTCCCTTAAAAATAGTAAAAAATGACATTAAAAACAAAACCGCCTGGATAACTGTTGGAATAAAAACTTCATGTAAACATAAAACATATTTGGCCAGTAGGGACAGTAATGATCCAAGACTAAAAAGTCACTACAAAATGTACTGTAAAATCTTGTCAAAAGTCTTTAAAGAAGCCAAACAGAATAATTATAACCAAATTCTAAAATCAAACAATAAAATTAAAACCACCTGGGATATTGTGAAAGTTGAATCAGGAAAGAAAACTGTTAATGAAGATGTACAAAGTTTGAATATTGAAGGAAAGTCTACTAATAATCCACAAGCTATTGCGAGTGCATTTAATGAATATTTCCTCTCATTAGTTGAGAAAACATATCTTAATAATAATCCAATATACTATCTGTCACATTCCTTTAATAGTTCATTTCCAAATATAAATCTCAAATCCTCAACAATAAAGGAAATTGAAAACATTATTAAATCCCTTAAGCCCAAAAATTCACATGGATATGATGAAATTTCTACCAATTTACTTAAAGCAAGCTCTGTTTACATCAGTTCACCATTGAATCAGTTGTGTAATAAATCTTTATCATCAGGGATTTTACCACAACGCTTAAAATATGCTGTAGTGAAACCACTTTTTAAAAGAGGCGAGAGAAAATGCATTTCTAACTACAGACCAGTATCTATACTGACTTCATTCTCAAAAGTTTTTGAAAAAGTTATATATAACAGATTACTTGAACACTTAAATTCTAACAACACATTAGTCAAAGAACAATTTGGATTTAGGAAAGACATAACCACAGAAAAAGCAACCTATGAACTAACCAACGATAATTTAAACGCTCTCAATAACAGATTAATAGTGGGAGGGATTTTCTGTGATTTAGCAAAAGCTTTTGATTGTGTAAATCATGATATCTTACTATCGAAATTAAATTTCTATGGAATAACTGGCAAAGCTAATGAATGGATCAAATCATACCTCAAAAATAGGTACCAAAGAGTGGAGATAAAAAGTAAAAATTCCAGTTCTGATGCATTTTCAAACTGGGGAAT